ACATATGTAAATATATTTATATATGAGGATGGGGAAATAGATTTATGTGCATACATTTATAGGTTTAGTATTATGGTAGCAGATGGACATTGGGCCCCCCCACTCAAGTACTCCCTCAATGCAAGAATACTTTGTTCTATTAAACCGGTATTCCATGATGCACACCTTCCCAACACAATTGCTGAAGACAAAGCGGGTGCATAAGCAAATGTAGTGAAGAAAGCTGATGGTGCCCAGCTCTGAAAAGATACAGCGTCTGGGGTCTTAAAGGCTTGAAGGTAAACAAGTGGCCATCTAGCTCAGAAGTAACAAAGCCCACATGGAAGAAGCACACCAGCCTGTGTGATCACGAGGTGCTGAAGGATCAGTTATCAGGCATCAAAGAACAAAAAATCATATCACTGTGAATGAGCAGAGGAGCGCGGAATGGAGACCCAAAGCCCATATGTAGGAAACTGGACATCCACTTACGGAAGGGTCTCTGGGAGGAGATGAACCAGTCAGGGTGCAGTGTAGCAACGATGAAACATACAACTTTTCTCTAGTTCCTAAATGCTTCCTGCCCCCCACCCCGCACCCCACTATCATGATCCCAATTCTACCTTACAAATCTGGCTAGACCAGAGGATGTACACTGGTACAGATCGGAACTGGAAACACAGGGAATCTAGGACGGATGATCCCTTCAGGACCAGTGGTGTGAGTGGTGTTACCGGGAGGGTGGGGTAGAGAGGGGGAACCAATTACAAGGATCTACATATAACCTCCTCCCTGGGCGACAGACAACAGAAAAGTGGGTGAAGGGAGACATCGGACAGTGTAAGATATGACAAAATAATTTATAAATTATGAAGGGTTCATGAGGGAAGGAGGAGTAGGAAGAGGGGGCGGGAATGAGGAGCTGAAGCCAGGGGCTTATGTGGAGAGCAAATATTTTAAGAATGATGAGGGTAACGAATGTACAAAGGTGCTTTATACAATTGATGTATGCATGGATTCTGGTAAGAGTTGTATGAGCCCCCAATAAAATGTTTTTAAAAAAAGAAAGAAATGATTGGCAGGTAAGTAACACAATATATTTTGTTTTTAGGGAAAGAATATGGCAAAGCTGATGCAAGATGGCTTTATTTCGATCCAAACATTGTGGCTGTGGAGCTTCTGACTGTTTTTCTGGATGGGTTTCTGGCATTAGTCCTGATTTATGCCATAGTCAAAGAGAAATATTATCGGTAAGTGTCTATGTCCTGTCCCATTGACGGGAGGAAAGCATTTACTGTCCCCATGCCTATGTGACATCTGGAATAGGTCTTAAACACGTTTATTTGTTAGATAAAAAATAGAGTAGAAATAAAAATGGTTTGGTATTTGATATGAGTCATGGTGCCACCAGGGTCATTTCAACGGTTGAATAAATTGATATGAAATATGATGTTAATATTAACTCATCAATTGCTGTTGACTAGCAATGCCCCATGGGGTTGTCAAAGCTGTAATTTTTATAGAAGCAGACCACATGTTTCTCCCATAGAGCAACTGTTAGATTCAAGCCACCAACTTTTCAGGGAGCAGCAAGTGCTAAGCCACTGTATCACCAGGGTTCTCTGTAGTAGTTCTTGTTCTTTTTTTTTTTTCCCCCTTTAGTATTACCCCAACTCCAGACTCACTGCCATTGAGTCAACTCCAATTCATACAATTGCCCCTGTGGGTTTCTGAGAGTGGAGAGCAAATGTTTTGAGAATGATGAGGGCAATGAATGTCCACATATGCTTTTCGCAATTGATGTATGTATGGGTTGTGATAAGAGTTGTATGAGCCCTTAATTAAACTATTAAAAAATAAATAAATAAAATAAAAAATCTTAAAGGAGTAGAAAGCCTCGTCTTTTTCCCACAGAGCAACTGATGGTTTTGAATTGCTGACCTTGCAATTGGCCACCCAACATGTAAACACCTGTGCCACCAGGACTCCTTTTTCATAATAACAATGTTAGATAATTTAGCATCAAGGAGTCCCTGGACGGTGCCTTTAATGTGTTCGCCTGCTAAACCAAAGATTCCTTGGAAGAGATGCCTGGCGCTCTGGTTCCTAAAAATAAGCAATTGAAAACACTACAGTTCATCTTGCATGAGTCGAAGTCAGCTTAGTGGGAACTGGTAGTGGGTGTGAGAGAGTAGAAAGGTAGTGTCTGCAACCTTTTTCTAAAAAAAAAACACTAGAAATTTTATTTTGCACTTGGCACACAGTAAGATTTTTTAGGAAGTGTAATTATTGCTTCTCCAAAGAAACCATGGGTCGAGCCATTTTGAGCCATTTTGGGGTTTTGTTTTGTTTTTTCTTATCCACTGTAAAATATTGGTGAAGAAGAACCGACCCACTGTACACACAACTCGTGACTCATTGACCCAGAGAAGAAATGGGGACTAAATAGAAATACCTACTTTGTCGTTCTGACTTTTTAAATGGTTAAAATGCAAAAAGCAAATAGGCCACCACCACCACCCACAAAAAAAAGAAAGAAAGAAACCATGGGTCTTCCTGGATTAGGTTGACTTGCCCCAGGAGGAGCAGCACTGGGAATGTTAGAGGTCCAATTTCTTTTTTTTTTTTTTTTTAACATTTTATTAGGGGCTCATACAACTGTTATCCCAATCCATACACACATCAATTGTGTAAAGCGCATTTGTACATCGTTTCTCAAAACATTTTCTCTCCACTTAAACCCCCAACATTAGGTCCTCATTTTTCCCCTCCCTCCCCGCTCCCCCCTCCCGCATGAGCCCTTGATAGTTTATAAATGGGTATCTTGTCATATCTTGCCCTGTCCGACGTCTCCCTTCACCCACTTTTCGGTTGTCTGTCCCCCAGGGAGGAGGTCACACACAGTTCCATGTAATCGGTTCCCTCTTTCCTACCCATTCTCCCTTTACCCTCCCTGTTTTGCCACTCACACCACTGGTCCTATAGGGCTCATCCGTCCTGGATTCCCTGTATTTTCAGTTCCTATCTGTACCAGTGTACCTCCTCTGGTCTAGCCAGACTTGCAAGGTCGAATTCGGGTAGAGGTCCAATTTCACAGCGTTTTTCTAGAATGAGATTGCGTTGATAGAAAGCTGTACCAGGCTGGCTGTTTCATTTAGCGTTTCTTACTCTCGAACAGGCATTTCATACAGATCGCCCTGTGCGTGTGTGAATTATATGGCGGTTGGATGACCTTTTCTCCAGACTGGCTCGTTGGAAGTCCCAACCTGAACACCAGCAATTGGCTCTACTTTTGGATCTATCTGGTATTTTTTAACGGTGTGTGGGTTTTGGTGCCAGGACTATTACTGGGCCATTCGTGGGTGGAACTCAAGAAAATGCACCAAAGAGGAACTCATTCTAAAAAGCTTCAGTGAATTGATGAAATAATAAACATTATTATCCACATGGAAAAAATATTCATCTTGATGCTTATCTCACATCATACATAATAAATTCCAAGTGCTTTGTGACTTAAAATGCAAAGGCTGTTTAAATAGTCAAATTAAATAGTAAAGCTTCAAAAACAATCCCAAACTAAAAACCATCAAATTACATTTGATTAATTGCCTTCATCAAAATCTTCCTTGCATGTCATATTAATATCATTGTTCAATACGCTCCATAGTCCATTGGTTCAACTTTTTTTGGAATGGGCACAAATTTGGATCTCTTCCAGTAAGTTGACCAAATGGTTCTCCCCTTAATTGTTTGGCTTCTCGTACTGCATAGGGTCACTATGAAATGGAATGGATTGGGTGGCAGTGAGTTTAGAATTTTTTGAGCCCTGCATTGCTTTGTGGAAACATTTCACCTGGTATTCTATCAGTTCCTGGAGCCATGTTTTTCAGTAATGCCTTCGGTGCCTCTTGGCCTTCAGTTTCATTGTTTCTTTCAATTCATGGCATTTTAATATACCAAGAAGAGTCGCGCAATCATCACCACAATCAATTTTAGAACATTTTCTTCTTTCTCATCCTCATTATTGTTACTTTTCCATTCTCCTCAACCCCCCCTGCTGTAACCCTTAGACACTCTTAGTCCAATTCTGGTCTCTACAGATTTACCAATCCAGCTTTCATCTACAGAAAAACATACAATAAAAAGAAAAAGCCAACAACACTAACAAAACAGTAAACCCTCAACCAAAAAGAAATCAGGAATGCATAAACACTAGAACAAATTTAAACTAGGCCAAAAGGGAGATAAAATGATAAGGGGTAAATTTTAACCTCACTATATCTGCATTCAGTCATTTCCCAATGCATTCCGTCTGACAGCAAGGTTATCACATCCCTGCTTAATGATCAGAGGGGATTCCTCAGAGGCTAATTCCAGTCTACGGCTCTGCGAAAAAGTTTGGGGTTTTCCCTGTCTTTCATAGCCTTCTGCAAACTAGGTGCTCAGAATTTAAGCGTTAATGCTTGTCTCTCTGGTCTTGTATTTTATTATTTACGATCCTGAGATCACACAGGCTGGTGTGCTTCTTCTGATTGGGCTTAGTTGGAACCTCAGATGGTGGCCTGTTTTAAGACAAGCCTTGAAAACCCCAGAAGATTCTTATTCTGATAGCCAGGCACCATCTGATTTCTCCACCATGCTTTGTTGTGACATCCACATCTCTCGTGATCTCTTCAGAATGGTAAGTATTGAGTGTCCCTCGATTAGAGCTACAGTTAAGTGCAAGCTCAAAATCCATTCATGAATCTTGAATCTATGGTTTGTTTATATGTCCTTGGTCCACTTTAGAGACATCGTTGTCATTGTATTGGGGAACATTATAAATCATCCCCATGGGGCACATGGTAATTCTATTGATAGCATCATTAATTTAGCCAATGATATATAATAAAATATTGTTTAGAAAAGGAAAGTATGCATATATAGAAGAGCTTTTTAGACCAAAATACATGGACAGTTGACTTGTCACATAAAAAACCCCCCCCACATATTTATGCAAACAATGAGGGTTGGAGATATGGCAAAACTTCAATAACATTCATTCCCAAAGGCAGAACTATACCTGCTGAACTGAGGCATGAAAAGCAGAGTATGGAAATAGCAAATATATGGTAGCTTTAAGTTATCATTTACTGAGTACCTTCAGAACAAGAGTTTCAAACCAAAGCCCAATGACTTCTAAATCATAAGCTTTGACTGGGAGTCATCTGCTACTTTTCACACAAGGTCATTTCAGTCTTAAGTCCAAGAGAACATTTCAGTTCCTTTAATCTTCTGCAGGTGTATTTAAGGTGAAGTCCAGTTTACTTAGTGGTGTTTCCAAATGGATCCCTTTGGTATGGTCTATGAAGGATGTTGTGTACCTCAAAAGGATGGAGTCTTAAGTCCCATCTGTCTATAGCATGTGCTCAGATCACCAAGGGCTGGATAGAAACTAGAGCCACAGTGTCCGACTTGGAACATAATACCGGCTGTAGTCTCCCCATTGGGGGGTTTGTATAAAAAGTGTTAAGCATTTTGCCCAATGGCAGGTTTGCCCCACCTGGTTTATTCACCATCAGAACTGACATCACTTTTTCTGAGACAGACATATCTCCCTTCCCACTTCTGGACTTGAATTTCCATGAAGGTTCACTGGGCCCCCTTGTAGGAGTGTCTGTTGATTTGGGGTGACCATAGAAGAGTGTTATATGGCAGGAACTGATGGGTCTTCTGCCTTTCCCCCCAACATTAGAAACAGTTGCCAGTTGAGGCGGAGCTTCCTCTGTCGAAGTGGTTTTAAAGATGTATAAATAAGGAAGTGATACGTGAATCCGGAGTATTAGACAAGCACTCCACCTGGTTGCTTGGGAGAACAGATTAGAAGATGGCAGATGCCTGCCTTTGTCTTGTTTATCCTTATAGTAGTGGTCTCATACAATAGCTGTCCTTTTGTGATTGACTACCCTGTTTCCCCGAAAGTAAGACATCCCCCGAAAATAAGACCTACCTACACTTTTGCTTCTCACTGAAATAGAAGGCATCCCCCCCGAAAATAAGACCTGCCTACAGTTTTGCTTCTTACTGAAATAGAAGGCACCCCCCGAAAATAAGACCTCTCCAGAAATAAGGCCCCCCTGAAGCTGCCGTAACTCTGGATTCTGGACCATAGCGGCAGGCACCACCACACAGCTCACTGTTGGCCACAGCGCAGCCGGAGCAGACAGGAAGTGTGAGGTCTCTTTTAATAAGACATTCCCTGAAAATAAGACCTAGCGCATCTTTGGGAGCAAACATTAATATAAAGCACTGTCTTATTTTCGGGGAAGCAGGGTAACTGCACTCAGCATCCTGGCTTCCAGGTCCTTCCATGTCATGAGGTGTTTCATGGTTTCATCCCTGTTTTTAGGGATTCGTAGCACTCCACTGTGTGTGTGTGTACCAGTTTCTTTATCCATTCTTCTCCTGATGGCCATTTGGGTTGTTTCCTGTGTCTTGCTATTGTGAACGGTGCTGCGACCAACATAGGAGAGCACACTGTTCTGTCTCTTTATTGTAGTATATACCCAGCAGAGGTAATGCTGGGTCATACGGAATTTCTTTTCCCAGTTGTTTTAGGTAGGGCAATATTGCTTTACCTGTTGTGCCTGTTCACAAGCAAATGAGCAGTGCATCCGAGTTCTGTTCTTTCCACATCCTGCCCACCATTTGTTGTTCTTTGCTTTTTGTTGTTGGTTGGTTTTTTTTGTTTTGTTTTGTTTTTGTTTTTGAGCTATCATTGGTGAGGATAAGATGATAGCTCATCATTGTTTTTGTTTTTTTAACATTTTATTAGGGGTTCATACAACTGTTATCCCAATCCATACACACATCAATTGTGTAAAGCGCATTTGTACATCGTTTCTCAAAA